AGGTGGCCCCGCCCCTAAGGGGCGGGGCCGGCGCACCTGCGGGCCGCACGTGCTACGCCCCACGGCCTTCGCCGCCGCACCTGCCAGACTTGCGCAGCTGCAGGAGGGTCGCGGGCTGAGGCCTGCAGGGTGCGCTCGAGGCCACCCCCGGGGCCCCCGCGTAGCCCACGGTGCTGAGTCAGATCCCTGAACTGCTTCAGGCAAGTGAAACTTGGCTGGGGAGGCGCGAGAGTGGAATTCATGATATGCCCCCCTTACCCGTGTTCTTTAGGTCTTTGCTCATGGGCCCCCTGATCAAGGACGACCCTGTTTCCCTCAGGGCCGTCCCTGTCTACCCTCGCTGACAAACCCCGCCCCCTCCCCAGACTCACACTCTCCCCTTCCCTGCTTGTTTTCCTCCGTGGTACGCATCGCTGTCAGACACACTACGGGTTTCTGTTTCACGGGTCTATCTTGTTGATTCTGTCTCCATTGGAATCAAAGTGCTATTTTTGTCCCCAGGGCCTAGAACTGTTTGATTGGATGTGAGCTGCCTCTGGAAGAGGCACGACCTTAGGTGACACAGTTTTCCTCAGTGGAGACAATCCCCTGAGAGGGACTGACAGCTGAGCGTGGTCTTGAGGCAGCAGCTCCTCCAGGCAGCCCCGTGCAGCACCCACCCTCAGCCCCACCCCCGGCCCACGTTATGCATGTACTGGATCGCTTTAATCTACACCTGAGAGTGCTTAGTTGTCCATGTGGGGAATACACACGCCAGAGGTGGTTAGCTAACACTTCATCCAAAAGTCACACTCCAGAGGCAGTGAATATAAGCACGTTAATGATCTCAGATCAACGGAAGTGGATTCATTAATTATCCCGAGAGATATTGGCAAAATTTCGCTGGTGAAATTCGTGGTGTCCAAGTCACATGGATTGTTTATAATTTTTGGAGGCATCTCCTCCCTTGGTGAACAGGATTAAGACTCCGGAGATTCCAGCAGTCCAGACCCTTTGGAAGGGAAGACTTTACTTTGAGATGGACACTTTACAGTGTCCAGCCACCCAGTGTCCTTGCGTGAATGTCTCAAGTAAGGTTTGTTCGGAGCACCTAATTTGACCGGGGGAGGGGATGCATATCCGAGTGGGCAGCAGAATTTGGTCTATGACGTACTTTCTTTGTAAACTGGTGGAGAGATTGTTGGGGGAGAAGGCCCAGAGCCCTCACCTAACTCTTAACAGCTGGTAAACCCTGCAGCTGTTTATTTCAAGAACCTAGTACTTGTTGCCCACATTGATATGAATCAATTTACATAACCCCAATGACAGAGAAAGAAAGTCTAGCCATGTTCAGATAAACTCACTCAAATTCAGTGATATCAGTCACTTCCTGTTTAAAGCCGTCTCCCTTACATTCAGGGCTGTCCCTAGTCCCGCTCCTCCCCGGGCTCCGCAGGGGCAGCTTCGGTGGAGGACCGCACATCCATCAACTTCTCGGTCTTCACCTGTCCAGGGTGGATCGCCACTGAGGGGCAGGGATTTCGCCACGTAGTGTCCATCAAGGTGCCTGCTTCCCTCAAGCCACATCCAGGCTTCAGGTCCTGTGGTCCCTGTAGGCACTCATGGCTGCACCTCTTACCTTGGGCTTGTTTGCTTTCAACTACCTGGGGAAAACCGAACCTGCTTCCCGTGCCCACAGAGGCGCGGGAACTCTCTTCAAGCTAGCTCTTGGGCCCATCTGCCTAGGCCCCCAGGCAGCCCCTCTTACACCGTGCCCCTAGGCTCTGAGAACGTGCTCTGAGACCTGCCCCCACTCCCAGGGCAGTAAGGCCAAAAGTGAAGTGCCTACCTCTCCACTCTTGGGTCCCAAACTTGGAAGGTGCTCTTCCATCCCACTGCCACCATCCCCTTGGATTGCCCAGGTGATAGGTATGGACTTAACATCTGGATAACATCTGGACTTAACATCTGAACTCAAAAGCCAAGAATTTTGATGTCTTTAATCTCTGGTTCCTCTGAAATGAGCCTGCATTCCCACCTCGGTTCTGGGGACATCTCTGATCAGGAGGCCCTCAGTGAACGTGAACAAGGAGGGGGCCGGGCAGGTGGACAGAACACACCAGTGAATGTTTCACCAAGCTCTTACCTGGGCCTAAGCAGAGTCATTAGGTTAGACTACGTAGTGCCTCTGCTCTCTACTAAAACACAAGTATTGCTCGATATAGACGAGAGCAGAAAGACTTTAGTGTGCATTTATTGAATCTGACATTTCCTCTCAACCGGGAGGGACGCCTGCCTGGGAGTGGGCGAGGTGGGCAGTGGCCCGCTAGAGGGAAGGGAACAGACTGGGCTGGAGGGGCTGCCGCTGCCCACGTCCTGTTTGCCCCAGGCCACGGGGCCCCAGGCCACGGGACAGCAACTCTCACCTTGGTTTTAAGGGCCGGGTGGGGAGCTTGAGTGGGAGAGGCAGGGATTGGAAATCAATGGAGTGGACACAGGCGCAAGCAGCTGGGCTTTGTGCGCACAGCTTGGCCAGGGCCTCCTCGGCCCTTCGTGTGGGCCCTGCCCCACCGCACCCGCCACGGCCAGCTCCCTGTGCTCCTGGGACTTGCTGGCTTTCAGATGTGGCTGGAAGCTGCCCCAGGGAGCCTTGTTCTAGTCGTTGCTGTGAGTGTTTGGGGGCGGGTGGGGTAGTATATCCTTCCTCTCGGGCCCTCCGCTCTCAGACTCAGCGATTCTGCAGCCCCTTTGGGCTCACTGGACGATGCCAGAGAACGTGTTGATGGGCATTCGAAGGGGCTTGGCCTTGGCTCTGGTCCTTTCTATCTCCTCCTGGTGTGAGCTGAGCCCCAGCACCTTGGATTTCTGGGCCCCAGCACACGGCTCTGGGCAGGGAGCAACCTCGAACCTGTGGGCGGAGAGAGGCCAGCTCGGGAGACCCATCTCAGGGGTCAGATCTGCCTGGGCATTTTAAACGTAGCCCCTTTACTGTCGGGTATAGACAAGGGGGCTCCGCAGAGGGAAGAGGAAGGGTCAGAACGAGAAAGGGTTCCCTGAGCCCGGGGCGAGCGCACGCCGAGGAGGATACGCCCGAATGGGTCACCCTGTGCGCCTGCCTGTCCCAAATACACCTCCCTAGGGGACACCAGTAAGTGTCATGTTAACTGGGTCGTAGCTGCCACAGAAGGGCAGCCTGTGTTGGGGGCAGGGCCCGCACAGGAGGTTGGATCAGGAGGGCTGCAGGCTGAGCGTTTGGAGAAGAATCTCGGGAGAACTTAATCTCAGCTACTGCCCAAGGTCAGCCGTCACTTGCTCTTCTTTGTGGATTTAAGTCATCACCTGAGTCCACACCCATCAGGGATACCTGCCTGGCCCACGATCCACCCCGACAAGGCTCAGGCAAGGGGTGGGGGGCGGGGCCGGGGGCCGGCAGCCGGGAAGCTTTGCCCCAGGGGCACAGAGCCCAGCCTCACCTGGCCACATCCCTGTACGCGCGGCAACTGTCCTTGTCCAGCAACAGTGTCAGCAGCCTCTGGTCCTGGCTTTGGATCTGGACGTTAGCCGACCGGAAGGTGTTTGTCACCGTCTGCACCAGAGACAGCTTGGGGAGCATCACCTTGGTAACGGATGGCCCGTTACCAACACCTCCTACCTTGGAATCCTGTGTGTTTCAGCTCAGTACACAAGAGTCCTGCCTCTCTTCTTGCAAGTGACCCTGAGTAGTGACAAGCCTGCATGAGATGCTTCTAGGCAGCCTTGGTCCTTGGCTCTCCCATCATTTCCACAGTTCTTTTTTCCCCACCTTTTGTCCTTAATTTCAAACACAACCTGGGATGCTACAGCTAGAGCTTGCCAGGTGCTGAAGTGACCTGAGCACCTCCTGTTTGACAGGCATGTTATGTATGTAATTTGGGGATACTCCAGGGTTTTTATAAGCCCTGACCCCTGTACTCAGTGTTGGATTGCATACAAAATTATTTCCCTGGCGCAGAGACAGAGGGTCTGGAAAACAGCCACCTATCCCCATGACTCAGACTAAGCCTGTACCAGTTTGTACCATGGGGCTAGTTACGTCCTCTGCACGGGGAACCCGGGTCATGGTGTTCCCACCTTCCACACCCACAGCCCTGCAGAGCTTCTCCAGAAAGTACCCAGGAGCAGAGGAAAGCAGCCCCGAGGCAGCCCTCCAACCCGTGACCCTGAGGGGGCTGCTCCCGAGAGACCCCTCCCCCTGGACAGAGAACGTAGAGCATCCTGGGCTCCAGGTGGGGCACTGAGGGCCCTTCCGGTCACTGGCCCATAGCACGCATGGACAGCAGCTTTGCATGACTCACCACCACAGAGCATTGGAGTTTCTAGAGCCTTAGCCTCCATCTTATTCAAGTATTCTCAACCCTGGAGTCACCTTTCCAAAACATAAAATTAGAAATTCTGATCTAAGTGGTCAGGAGTCCAGCCCCGGTCTGGGCATTTTTCATAAGCTCCCTGTTGTAGGCAGGGCTGATCCACCTTCCTGCTGTCA